CTGAGGGAGAAGGCAGCTGGCATAGAGAAGGGGTCACTAAGTCAATGATGGTTGGAGGGATCACTTGGGATGGGAGATGTGTGCTGAAAGTAGATAAAGGACCAAACATGATGGCCTCTCAGTATCTGTATTGCAAACCATAATGCCCCAAAGAGAGAGAGAGAGAGAGAGAGAGAGAGAGAGAGAGAGAGAGAGAGAGAGAGAGAGAGAGAGAGAGAACGGTGGTGCCTGCCACAGAGGCAGGGGGTGGGATGGGGTGGGGGTGGTGGGAGGGAAACTAGGGACATTGATGGTGGAAAATGTACACTGGTGGAGGGATGGGTGTTTGATCATTGTATGACTGAAACTCAATCATGAAAACTTTGTAAGTTTATCTCACAGTGATTCAATAAATTTATCTCTCAGTGATTCAATAAATAAATAAATAAATAAAATGATTCTTGGTCTCCAAGCACTACCAGGGAGTGATCCCTGAGCACAGAGCCGGAAGTAAAAGCCGTGTGCTCTGCCAGCTTTGCCCCAAAAACACAAAAGAAAAAGAATTCACATGCGTTTGCATACAAACTGCCCTCCCGTTGTTCATCGGTTTGCTCGAGTGGGCCCAGTAACGTCTCCATTGTGAGACTTCTTGTTACTGTGTTTGGCAAATACTCTCGGTAGCTTGCCAGACTCTCCAAGAGGGGCAGAGGAATCGAACCTGGCTTGGCCGGGCTGGCTGCGTGCAAGGCAAATGTCCTACGGCTGTGCTATCGCTCCAGCCCATATGTATGTTTGCATACAAATAGGTCAATAGTATTGCCATCAGTATGACTGAAGAGAGATTATAAAGGAGTTAAGGCATTTGCCTTGCACGAGGCTGAAACCAGTTTGAATCCTTGGCACTATATATAGGGTCCCCTGAGCACCTCCAGGGGTCACTCCTGACCACAGAATCAGGAATAGCTCCTGAGCATCAATGCAGGAGGCCCATTCTCCTCTCCCCACCCTTGCAGTAATGTACTTAAGAGAGGGAACCCGCTAACGTATTTGTGTCGTGAGAGATCACAGATGGCCTTTTCCCTAAGATAGAGACATCAAGAAATCTTTTTAAAGATATAATGTCTATCAATTCTATTTATAAATGTGTTTACTATAGAAATTCCCTCAGCTAAAATGGCACCCTTGTGTGAATGAGATAATGAATTCTGCTGTAACTTATTAGGTTATGACGATGACAACTGTTTCTTTGAGGACAGGAAAGGCACGTGTTGATTATTCTCTGTGACAGAGAGATCAATGTGTTTAGCTCTTACAATAATGTCCACTTTATTAGCTAAGTCCCCGACATTGATGCTCAAAACAGTACGTGAGTTTCAACCTTTAAATAGCAATCCAAGCTGAATTGTTTTTCGAATAAGGTGCCCTTGTCAATGCCAGGAATTGTTACTGGTTTTACAGAGAATATAGCCTTTCTTAAGTTTTCCAAACTAGAGGAGAGAATGTGACAGTCCGTTCTAGACAAGAGGACCACTGTGACACAGTGCAATAGTAATTACAGTCAGGGTGAATACTCAGCATCATGTACTTTTAAAATGAAAGAAGGAACTGATTGCTGTGATCTGACCAAATGAAGCATTTTCCCTGATCACAAATATCTTTTGAATGTATCTCTTAGTTTGATTTTCGGTTGAGATAACAATGTTTTTGATTTCCATTATTGGATATGATTCAAGAATGCTTTGTCCTACCTTTTCAAGGTAAATGATCAAGCAAAGTGCTGAAATTTCTCCACCACCATCAGTCGGGTCCTTTTCCCATTTTGTGACCACCCCTGCTTCCCACTGCTACATTCGAACTACAGAACTGGCAACCTCGGTTCTGTTGTTCGGATCCAAGGGTTACTTTAGTCTGTTTCCCGACTTTTCATTATATCCCACATGGGAGTGAGGTCATGCAGTACTTGGCTTTCTGACTTTCTGACTTACTTTACTTAGCATAACGCTCTCCAACTCCATCCACGTTGTCACTAAAGGCAAGTGTTTTTTTTTTTCCACCCTCTCTCGGAGTTGAGCAGTATCTCATGAGTTTATAACCCACATCTTCTGAATTCACTCTTCTGTCATTGCACATTGAGTTGTTTCCATCCCCTGGCTATTGTAGTAAGTGCTACAATGAGTATAGGTGTGCACATATCATTTTGAATTAATGGCTTGACTAATTTATTTGGGGGGGGGGGGTCATACCCAGCTGTACTCAGAGACTATACCTAGCTCTGTGTTCAGGAATAAATTCTGGTGGCAGGAGACTATATGAAGGTGCTGAACATCAAACCAGGGTCAGGAAGTGCCTTACCTCTGTACACTCTCTTCTCTCTCTTTCTCTCTCTCTCTCTCTCTCTCTCTCTCTCTCTCTCTCTCTCTCTCTCTCCTCAAATTAGTGTTCTCTGATGAATACCTTTTTGTTTGTTTGGGGGCTATACTGACAGTGCTCAGGCTCTGCGCCCAGGGATCACTCCCGGCAGTGTTTGGGGAACCATATGGGGTGCTGAGGATCGAACCCAGCTCAGCTGAGAGTGCAGTACCCTTTCTGCTTTCCTGCTGTATAATCTTTCCAACTCCACAATGAAGACTTTTAAAAAGATATTTAAAAATAGTCTTTGAGGACAAAAATGTAATCATTTGTAGTGTTTCTCATGGTGGTGGGTTCTGTGTTAACTCAGGACCAGAAATATTTCAGGAAAATATATGCCCTAATACCAGAATCCCTGTCTTGCTGAGTTGTTTGAAAAATAGTGTCATTGTGTGAGAAGTCACCCTGTGGACCAGCAGGAAAAAAAAAACAAAAACAAAAAAACCAGCTACATGCTCTGAAAGTTGGAAGAACTCATGTTTATGGCACTGGTGGACCCAGCTAAGCTCGTGCTTCAAAGACTGGGCCCTGAAACAAAGGCAAGAGCTCTGTTTTATAGACCATCTGATGAGGCATTTGGAGGCAGCTGGAAAGACAGTCCAGAAGCAGAAATTCCCAAGCATGTTATTTGCAAATCAGGGTCAGGACCACCTCAAGGATTTTCTGAGCTCATTCTGCAGTCGTGGGGCAAGGAGGAATATCTCAAGGACGTCCACGCCTCTCAGAGTCCAGGTGCAACCGTTTATCTTGGCATTTAGTTCCCTGGCTGCTTGGCAGTTCATGATGGGGGAAAGGAGGGATCAGGAGCCTATTTCCCTCAACATAGTGACCCCAAGCATCTGAGAGAGTGGCTCCTATTTTTATTTATTTCTTTAGTTTGTTTTTTAATTGAATCACAGTGAGATACACAGTTACGAAGCTGTGCATGATTGGGTTTCAGTCATACAATATAATGTTCCATCACCTCTCTCTCTCTCTCTCCCACCCCCCCTTTGGGCCTCATGGTTTGCAGGAGACATCACTTCCTGACCTTGGTTTGATGTCTGGAAGGTTATCAGGGATATCCTTTTACTTACTTTCAACACTCAGTTCCTATCCAAATAATCATTTCTATCTATTATTGTCATACTGGTTCCTTTTCTATCCTAACTGCCCTTTGGCCCCCAGTGAGCTTCCACCCACTGACCAGACCTCCTTGGCCCCCCCCCCCCCTTTTATTGATTCACCGTAAGGTACAGTAACAAAGTGTTCATGTTTGATCTTCGATTATCACTGTCACTGTCACTGTCCTCCTGTTTATCGATTTGCTCGAGCGGGCCCAGTAACATTGTGAGACTTGTTACTGTGTTTGGCATATCAAAATTGCTAGGCTTTGCCATGCGGGTGAGATACTCTCGGTAGTTTGCTAGGCTCTCTGAGAGGGGCAGAGGAATCGAACTCGGGTAGGCCAGGTCAGGGGTCGGCCGCATGCAAGGCAAATGACCTACCCACTGTGCTATCACTCCAGCCCATACAATCATCAAATACCCATCCCTTCACTAGTGCATGTTTTCCACCACCAAAATTCTTAGTATTCCCCTTCCCCCACCATTGCACACCTTCCCCTCCCTGGGTGGCAATTTGCACAATACTCTCTCTCTCTCTTTTTTTCTTTTTGGGTCACACCCAGCAATGCACAGGGGTTACTTCTGGCTCTGCACTCAAGAGTTACTCCTGGCGGTGCTCAGGGGACCATATGAGATGCTGGGAGTCGAACCTGGGTGGGCCTCATGCAAGGCAAACACCCTGCCCGCTGTGCTGTCGCTCCAGCCCCACAATACTCTCTCTTTATTTTGGTTACATTTGTTATTTTGACACTAGTCCCACCACCACTCATACCTGCTGAAAAGGCAATGATAGACAATTTGTTTTGTATTGCGGGTTATGGAAAAAATATAATGTCTTGCGACCATGCTCTCTAAGAATTCTAAACTTTTCATAATTAGGGTCTGGAGAGACCTCTGCAGCAAGTTGCTTGGGTCCGAGATTCGTGTGTGTGTCTCTGGATCATGGCCGTGTGGGAGCTTAAGTGAACGGTGGCCGTATGTGGGCGTCATCTCAGAGTCCCATCAGGGCGGAGGGGAAGGAGTTGGCCCTTATTTTTAAAACTAATGTTGACACTTTTTTTCACCTTGGTAGTCTTTCAAACTGTTCACGGTCACAGTCACGGTCCTCCCGTTGTTCATCGATTTTCTCGAGCGGGCCCAGTAATGTCTCCATCGTGAGACTTGTTACTGTGTTTGGCATATCGAATACGTCACAGGGAGCTTGCCAGGCTCTGCCGTGCGGGCGAGATCCTCTCGGTAGCTTGCCGGGCTCTAGAGAGGGGCGGAGGAATTGAACTCGGGTCGGCCATGTTGGCTGCGTGCAAGGCAAACGCCCTACCGCTGTGCTATCGCTCCAGCCCTTTCAAACTGTACTGATCCAATATAGAGTTCCAGTAATCATTCAATAGATAACAAATATTTCCTTTGGTTTTACTGTGGCTCCAAGAGCATTTCAAAACTAAGAGCATAAAATATGGAGTACATTTAAGTAAGGCAAAGGAAGTATTCTTTAATAAAACACAAGCAGTGCTCGCTTCGGCAGCACATATACTAAAATTGGAACGATACAGAGAAGATTAGCATGGCCCCTGCGTAAGGATGACATGCAAATAAAACTCAAGCAAACTGGGTGTTTGTCTTGTAACCTGTCAGAGGAAACATGGGGGGGCGGGGAAAGGGAGGAAAAAAAGCATGGAGTACAAAAACATGAAGTATTTGAGCCTTGGGATGATCATACCATGACCAATGTAGGATTTCTCTCTGTTTCTTTTTTCGCGGGGGGCGTGAGATTGGGGTGGGGTGGGGGGCACATCTCCGCACCCAATGAGAGCCACCAAAGCCAAATCAGATAGATGGACAAGAAGCTTTATTCATCAATCTCATAGACTGCATAGTGGGTCAGGCCTCGAACCCTCGACAAAATGATTCAAAGTCTACTATCACATTTATCCCCTAAAAGTACATTTCAGCGTGTAGTAAAACAAAGCACTAATTGCAAGATTAACTGCAATCTGTAGTAAAGCAAAGCATTGCCCACATATGAGGGGAACAAAATAGGGTTCGTCATATGATCAAAAGGGAGAAAACAGTTTCTTTGACATTTTCTTTTACATTTGCTCAGGGTCAAAGCACACTTTCCCACAAACTTATCAGGGAGCCAGACCAGGTGGCTGCTGGCAAAGTCCAAGGACTAGTAAGGCGCTAGAATCAGCACATAGTTACAGAGTGAGCACAGCTGGGTGTCTGCAAATCTCAGGGACAAAAATTTGTAACCCTTACTTGGCCCAGCAGTCCAAGAGTATGTAGATGAAGCTTTCTTTGACTAATTCAACATCACTGCAGTCTCTAACAGGTTAGTATATAACAGTGATGCTCAGGGCTGATTCCTAGCTCTGTGCTCAGGGGACTATTAGCGTGCCAGGGATTAAATGTAATTCAGCTGTGTGCAGGTCAAGTTGCCTGACCCCATGTACTAGCTCTCTGGCCCAGCTCCCTCAGTGTTTCTTTAGACACCATCTGTTCTCTTCCTTCCTCAGTGCTGCCCCAGTCTCTAGACCAAATGTTTGGGCTTCCATGAAAGACCAATATTCTTGGGGATCAGAACGATAGTACAGCGGGTAAGGCACTTGCCTTGCACATGTCTGACCCAGGTTCGATTCCCTAGCATCCCATATGGTCCCCTGAGCACCCTCAGGAGTAATTCCTGAGTGCAGAGCCGGCAGTAACCTCTGAACATCACCAGGTGTGACCAAAAAGCTTTTTTTTTCTTTTTGGGTCAGGGGACCATATGGGATGCTGGGAATTGAACCTGAGTCGGCCAACATGCAAGGCAAACGCCCTACCTGCTGTGCTATCGCTCCAATCCCAGTTTTGTTTGTTTGTTTTGTTTTTTAAAGAAGCCCAATATTCTCTTTAGGCCCCTTAAAACATGTTTTTGCAGATTGGTCACCTATAATGGACCTGTGTCTAGCAAACAAAAGAAAAAGGTTCTGGGCTGAATAACCAGTTCTGTGGGTACTGTCTCACATGTGCCTTACATGTGGCTGACCTGAGTTTGTTCCCCAGTACCCCATACAGTCCTCTAAACCTGCCAGGATTGATCCCTGAGCAAATGGCCAGAAGAAAGCCCTGAACACAGACCCAGACCCAAAAGCTGTGACCTGTGACCCAAAAGCTATCAAAAAAGAAAAAAGAAAAAAAATTCTACTGTCATAGAGCTAGCATGTTTGTGAGGGGAGATAGACCACAAACAGCAAATAAGATAAATCAGTATTTTTTTAATGTATTCGGATTACATAATATGTTTTAGCTGCCTTCCTAACTTGGGCTTCTCTCTCCCTTCCATTGCAGCTTCTGTTTTCTTTTCTCTACAGGAATATTCCACTACTAGATCTGCAAAGAAGTTGCTGTTTCTTCTGCTCTCAACAGCAAGTGCTCTCTTGATTCATTCCCTTCACACCGCAGTCAGGGTGACCCTGTTCTTGAGGCTCCAAGAGTTTTCAATGAGAACAACATCGTGATGCAAGTGAACACATTTAACTGAATCTTTGAAATTTTGAAAATTTGCTTTTTTTTTTGAGTTGAAGTTTTCTTTGCAAGGAAAAGGCACTTTTGTGGCTGTATGAGGTGATCTCAAACTTCCTGAAGGTAGCATTTCCTGGTAGCACTATGGCACTGTCCGCCCATTGTTCATTGATTTGCTCAAGTGGGCACCAGTAACGCCTCCATTGCGAGACTTGTTATAGTTTCTGGCATATCGAATATGCCACGGGGAGCTTCCCAGGCTCAGGTGGCATACTCTTGGAAGCTCGCTGGGCTCTCCAAGAGGGACGGAGGAATCGAACCCGGGTCGTCTGCATGCAAGGCAACCGCCCTACCCCCTGTGCTATGGCTCCAGCCCTAAACTTCCTGGTCTGCGAGGCAAACTGATTCTTTTTTTCCCCTCTTCCTTTCACTGGCTTCTCTAGCCTCATCGACCATCCTGTAGTTTATCCAGCTCCTGAGTCTTCAAAGGTGTTCCTCCATCTGCCCAGAGAATCACTCCCCAGAGAGCCTCCCTTTCTTACTCTTCTTCCCACTAATCACCATTAACCTCCCCCTCGGCCAAGCCATTTTATCTCCCTGCCTGCCCCCCCACCCCACCCCCCCCGCCCCTCCCGCAGCTCTTAGCACTTTTGCTATAGCTCATTTTCTATTCCAGGCTCTGTATTCTGTAACTGTGCTTATTAGTCCTGCTTTTGTCTGTCCTCCCACCCAAGTTAAATTTCAGAGGAAGGTCTGAATTTTCATCTGTTTTGTTTTTCTCTTCCATCACAGTGTTTCGAACCATCTTGGTACAGAGGAGGTATGCAATAAATTAGCTTTTGGTTTTCTGAGATTGTTTGTTTGTTTGTGTTTGCAGTGCTGGGGATCAAGTCCAGGGCCTCACACATGCAAGGCATAAGCTCTCCCACTGAGCCACAAATTCTTGGCCGTAAATCATTTTACTTTCTATTTTATATTTTTATTTCCATTTGCCCCTGCCTTCATTAAAGCAATAAAAGTTGATGTTTTTCATTGAGGTGAGAGCGAAGGCACACACTCCTGGCCATGGTGTTCACACATTTAGCTTTGGTGCTTACCAGCTTCACATGCCACGTTACAGTGCTCAGACAGCTGGCCAAGGTGCACACTGATGATTGCTTCCTCTGTAGGTGTGGTGCTTGTATACAAACTCGCCACAGATCAGGCTCTTGAGTTGTGGCACACACATGCTATGGTTTTAGTACTCACCAGGGTTTGCACTGATACCTGCGGTAGTCTGTGTAGCTAAACCTTGTCTGTGGCACACAGGGTCACAGATGACAGAACTGCTAGGATTGTATGAGTCATATGCAACAGCACCAGGGATTGAACTCCTGACCAGATGCTTCTAAGGTGTACATTCAAAGCCACTGGGCTAGAGCTGGAGTAATAGCACAGCGCATAAGATGTTTGCCTTGCACAGGGCTAACCCAGGTTCAATTTCCAGCATCCCATATGGTCCCCTGAGCAGAGCAGAGCACCACCAGGAGTAATTCCTGAGTGCAAACAGAGCCAGGAGTAACCCTTGAGCATCACCACGTGTGACCAAAAAGAAAAACAAAAACAACAAAGTCACTGGGCTATTCCTCCAGGTCCTCACTAAATGATTTTAAATGAATTGTGTTGCTACCCTAATTGTGTTTCAACAAAGAACTATTGGCTGACCACCGGGCAAATATTTTCTGCAAACTATATCTTTTTTTTTTTTTTTTTTTTTTTTTTGCTTTTTGGGTCACACTCAGCGATGCACATGGGGTTACTCCTGGCTTTGCACTCAGGAATTACTCCTGGTGGTGCTTGGGGGACCATATGGGGTGCCAGAGATTGAACCCAGGTCAGCTGTGTGCAAGACAAACACCCTACCCAATGTACTATCGCTCTAGCCTCAGTTTCTGCAAACTATGCCTTATCCACCATTAAATCATAGCATTTTGAGTATCTCCATAGAATAGTTCTAAATAATAAAAAAGTAATATAGTCTGTGAGGACCCCATTCAGTGTATTAATAGGAGTTGTAAATATGCATCCCTCCTTCAGAGACAGATCTCACTGAGTCCGGGTTTTCTTTGTTTTGTCTTAAAATCTCTATTTTTCTTCTCTCAGCAATTCCTTTGTGATCACTTCTTTCTCTTGTGTCAATCATCTTCCTCTCCTCCCTGCCCTAAAACAGTTGGGAGATTTGTGTTACAAGCCAAGAAACCTTTCATCTTTTTACCTTTATCTCCTTTTCAGTGTTTCCTCAACTTAGAACAGACTGCAGTAAGATGAATCAAGATTTTGTATCTAGTTTTGTTTGTTTCTTCTTTGTTTCTTGTTTTGAGGCCACACCCGGAGATGCACAGGGGTTACTCCTGGCTCTGCCCTCGGGAATTATTCCTTGTGGTACTTAAGGAACCATATGGGAAGCCGGGTTGATAGAACCTGGATTGGCCACGTGCAAAGCAAGCACCCTACGTGCTGTACTATTTCACCGGCCCCCTGCAAATCAAGTTGTTGGTTCTTTTGTATTAGTAAGATATGCCGTTTTCATCATCGCGCTCTGCTTACTAGATATCTTTCTCCAATTACAACACTTCCAGGTTGCACTGGCCAGACAGAAAAGGAAGCAGGAACTGGCATCTGTGGTCCTTGACTATTGAAATTGCTTAATGGGTATTCAATGAGGAGCTTTTGCCCACTCATTTTAAGTTGGATTTTGAAATCTCAAATAATGGTCCAGTAATTTTGACATCATTACTCTTCAAGGTCTTTAACTTTCTTCCTTTTTTTTTTTTCTTTTTTCTTTTCTTTTTTTTTTGGTTTTTGGGTCACACCTAGCGATGCTCAGGGGTTAATCCTGGCTCTGCACTCAGGAACTACTGCTGGTACTCGGAGGACCATATAGGATGCCGAGGATCGAACCCGGGTCGGGCACGTGCAAGGCAAACGCCCTCCCCACTGTACTATTGCTCCGGCCCCAAGGTCTTTAACTTTCATCTGGAAATTCTTTAGTTATTCTTCCCCTAACTTAAAACCCTAACTGGTTATTTAAATGGAATAGACGAATATACTAGTCCATCTGAAAAATGTTGG